ATCGAAATAGTCCAGTAATTCGTTTTGAAGACGACTACATGTACGCACATTGGCTCCCCTGTCGATGGCCGTGTTCGGACGGAACGTTCTGGGGTCGCGAAGCCGTTGAGTAACAGCTAACATAGTCCTGCGGTCTACTCTTGTACTATACCTTTGGTTGAATGTTCTGCAAGCTAGAGCCACATTATCACCACACTGTGCCAAAGTCCTTACCATTTTGATGTACTGAACGTTGCTGTATTGGAAAGACATCGCGTGCGAAAAATTATTTGCAAACAATCTAGTAAGTACTTTCCACTCATAATGTCCGCGCGTAACTAATAAATATTGTTTTCATTTAAGTTAGCTTTCATCGTAGCTAGGCTAGCTAAAGAAAAAGAAAGAAAATAATTTAGAAAGCAATTCAGTGTCATTTTTCACTATTCTAATATCGTTCACTCATAGAATTACTATTTTTAGGTCCTCGGAACTTGTTGTCTCACTAAATAATGATTTAATACGTCCCCATAAAAAAAGCAATGGGCGTCAAATTAGGTGATCTGGGAGATCAATGGCCTGGCCGCCACGTCCTTTATAAGGTACTCCAAACTCTGTATTTGTTAAGACTTTAACGTACTTGAAATAAGGTTCAATTTTCTTTATTTTGTATAGAATGATGGAATTTGTATTAATACAAATAAAACCGCACTTTTAAAAGTCTTATTGCCTTGAGTTACGGTTAATTTCAGTTTGTTTTGACTGTACATGTTTAGTGTGACTGTAAATTACGTAGTTTCAATTATTTTTGGGATAAAAAAATTACCTATATTAAAAATTATAGAAATCGATTCAGCAAACGGTTCTGAACAATCTACTTTCTCAAAGTGCGTTAACTATGTTACGTGTTGTATATATCTTTACAGTCTATCAAAAGTCCACTGCTGAACATTGTTATTTGCCATAGTTGCAACGCTTGGCAAGCGGGTTGGTTTTTTTTATTTAGGTGTTATCAGGAAAATGCTGCTGTTTATCTTCTTTGTTGTTTCCCTATGTCGCCTCAAACACCAGCCGTGAAATGATATGAGGTAGCAGATAATCTTACACTGCATGGTAAATTAAAATAGAATATTATAAAACATTCGTTTTTATTTTATATACCGACATATTACAAAAACTAACCATTTGTTGACGCTTTACAACGTATATTAACTAAAACATTTTACCACCTTAACCATTAGGTAAAATGATCAAGTCACCTAACCATAAGTAAGTCACCTAATAAATGTCTTCCCTAGATATCCCCATAGGATGACCTTTGCCACAGTTGCCACGCCTGCGTGAAAATATGCGTTATACTGGTTGGCCACCGCAGTTTTTTATTATTTTAAGTTTTCATCAGAAAAGTGCTGCTGCACCATCAGTTGTATTATTGCTTACGACGCGGGGGAGTATCATCCCGTCTATAGACAAATTCTCTTGTACGCCACAACTTGCCACACACAAGCCACTAACTCAGTAAGACATACAGGAAATCGCAGGAGTTGGCCCAGAACCGTGTTTTGTACTACAAAACCTAAGAGGAAACCTTTTCCTTTCGGAGGTATGTATTCAGCACTGAACTTGTGATGGACTAGTATGTTAAAACATTGTTGATATTATGAACTTTGTAAAAACAACTTAAAACTCGACACGAGGAAATTTTGGATTATTAATTAATATGTTTATTCTTAAATAATATTTAAGTACATACTTAAGATATTGCTACTTATTAGTGATATCACACATTGTGTTAGTAGAGTCTTCCCTTAGTGCTGTCGAAATCCAAAGAGTTTATTGACTGTCTAGTAAAATTGTCGATGTTCTATTGAATACGGAATGATGATTCTGCTTTTAAGCCGTTTTCGCCCGTAGATTTTAGTTACAGTATGTATTTCCAAGAGAAATGAATTAATCATCTGAATTATAAAAAACTTTTTTTTTAGTAACAAGTAAGTTTGTTGTATGAATTTATGTGCTGTGATTATAAATAAACCTATAACGGGGGAAATGGACCTATATCTGGTAAACCAGGAAAAGTACCTCACGCCTATTTCTATCTCAATTGCATGCGCGAATGCTTTACCTAGTCAATCCTCTATCTACGATAATAGGGATGTCTACAGATGAGTCGTACTAGGTAAATTATGTACTAGGTGCACTTAGTCCAATTCCGTACAAATACTCGATCCATATAACTGTCCCCCCTAATCCATGAAGTACGCATAAAGTTTGGTATCGTTGGAACTGGAATAGCTTACACTTTAAAGTATGCTTAGTGTCACAAACTAGTAAGAAGCATACTATTCATACTTTACACAGGCTTAGGACTGTTAACGTTAAGATTTATCTAAATTCTAGATTGGTGGCGTATTTAAAAGATTTGAATTCATTTTTTTATAAGAGTTCTCCGGTATTTGCCTCGTTTCGTTTATTTTTTTTTAAATTATTTTTGTTTATTTTTTTAATAACCTATCTACAAGAACAAGCATTGACTTTTTTATATACGCGCAAAAATCAGTCTTAAGAGTTTTAAAATTTTTAATTTTTTTTTAAATTTTTTTTAAACAACAAACACTTTAATCTCTAAATAAAAAAATAAATCAAAAATTCTTTAACCACTTATCAAAACTTAGTTACGAAAACCTATTGCTAAGTAAGTCGAGTAGGTATCATTCAATACGGTGCCGAGATCACATTCGCATGAGTCCGTACTAGACACTCGACTGCATTATATGGTCTCCATTCACACCGAGTATCTATAAGTACCTAGAGTATAAAATCTACCAAGTATTTGGTTGAAGTCCCCGGGACAAGTCCCGTCTAGTCTCGAGTATTGACAGACAAAGATAGAAAGACTGCGGAATAGTGTAGTTAAAAAAGGACAAAATATAATCTTACACAACACGAGTGCGCGTCGCGTTACTTTTATATACATTGAAATATAGTTCAAATTTAAATGACTGCCACTTGAATGATTTAGGTAAACACGAGTGAGCGGCAAAGCAGACTAGTAACTGCGGTAACAAAATACTCTCTCGCTCTGCCGTATCGGTACTTGTTCGATTGGAGAGGGCCGCCGCGCCGGTGTTGTGCGACACGTAGGCACAGTGAGACTAGGTGCAACACTAGGTTTTAAAAGTTGGAACAGGTGCAAACTAGTCTCGTTTAATACCTAGTACCTAGATCTGTTCTAGTATATACGCTTCATCTCTAGGGATATCATTTTTCTATTAAATTAGAAGATATGAGTGTAGGTTACTCTTATATAATATGACATAGTATAAAGAGACCAAAGCACAGACTAAACTAAAGATGACTACTAGTAATTAAAGCTCTACGCATATATTACACGTAACATCTTAAAATGTTTCTATTTTTGACTATTTTGAAAATTAAATTAGAAAAAGCGAGACATGTATATTTTCTTAATTTATGTAGAATTATAGGTTCCATCTCTCCATACATATGTAAGTAATTACTCCTATGTACCTACCAAGCTATAGGTTCTTCTTCTTCTTCCCCATTTCTTGGCCTGCACGGTTTGTGCGTCAGCCATGTTTTCCATTTTTCAATATATAATTATCCTTCGTAGTACAATTGTATAATTAGCCTTCATAGTACACTGCTTCACAATATGTTGATGCGACACATTGTGAAGTCCTCGGGAGATTTTGGCGGCAACTTGAGCCAGCTAACGGTTGGCAATGGTATCTCAAGGCGCCTAAGCAGACAACCTTATATTGAGAATCACATCACAATTAGAGCACTTGTTTCACCGTTTCCACTAATAGTTCACATGCGTGGACACTTAATATACAAAATTGCACCACTTTTACATATCAAAGTCCACTTCAAACCATTATTTAAACAATGATACAGAAGCAGCATACCGCCGCCGGTCATGTTCCCGCCAAAACTCCAAAAGCTATAGGTTAACATCAAGATATGTTTATTTAACTTGTGACAAACGAAGCTGGCAACCTACAAGAATTATAATAGTGTTGTAAATATCTAACACCGAATGATTTTATCGATATTTGTATATAATATAAATTAGGTCATAAAATTTTTTATTATTACGTGGGATTTGGGTAAAAATGCCATCAATGCCGAAAAAAGAAATGAATGTATTTTATACAAAATAATCTGTCATAAACTTACAACTATTAAGTATAAGAAATACGTATAAAACAAATGAAAATAATTTTAATTTGTTTAATTTTTTCACGATTAAATTTTTAATTAATTAAGTACCGAATTAGAAATAACATTCTTAAGTTTAGTTTCTAAACAGTAGATAAGCAAGTGAAAATGTAATATAATCATTTTAAATTTACAAGCTAAATATATTTTTAGATATTACACAGTGAAAAAGAAAGAATTATAACACTGATTACAATAAAAAATCCTTGTCTATTAATGTCATCGGGAGTTTTTGACTTTTCTACTTCCCGTTGTCAAAATGTGAAAATTTGGCTGGAAAGCGCATGCCCCTGTCTCTGACAAATTTTCGGCCATATTGTTATGACGCATACGAGATCATAGGTCTCCGCCAGTGACGAGTCTTCTCGCAGTTGACGTGGCTACTACGTACCGTCCCGTTCGCCCACTCCGGACGCAGCATATACGGTGACGAAGAATACGTAACTGGTGAGTGCTCGCACCGAAGACATCTTGCGGTCTGTCACGGTCGCTTCGATTTCGGTTCATAATATTATGGACATTATTTTCGATAATACTTGTATATGTCTTAAGTACGAGTTTACAAGTCTTAAAATTATGTTGCGTATATGCTGATATATGCAATAGGAAATTTTCCATGTATGACGCGATGATGCCGTTTTAGGATTTCTTTATCAACTGTGTTGTTCTATGCGACCTAACTATGAAATTGAACAAATTTATTTACAAGTTTTGAATGTATAAAGGTCAAGGAATGCACAGAATGGTGACCTTGAATATTTTAGGTGACCTTAGTGGCAATGGACGGAATGGTGGAGGAGAACGGCACGTCTGGTGGCGCAGGCGTTGCAGATCCATTGGCGAATGCCAGCTCTTCTGCTGGTGCCTCAACCCCTCATGTCGTTACTAGCATCGTGCAACTAACCTTACCTGCACAAGCTCCATCAGCACAGGTATTTTAATGATGTTATGTTTTAATACTATTAATAGAAACTGAGCATAATAACAAAGTAGCCATGAGTAATGCTACCTAACATTAGTTGTTAAACATAAACAATTATTTTTTTATTTTATTAAATTTATACATTTTTAATTTCAGGTTCAATCAGTCATTCAACCTAACCAACAGTCAGTGATACAGACAGCTTCGAATATACAATCTGTGCAGTTACCCAAGGGAAATGTGATACTTGTTAGTAAACCTAGCTCTGTTATACACACAACTCAAGGAACATTACAGACATTGCAGGTATTATAAAGATGTCAGTGTTAATGTGTTTATATATGTCATATTTGTACAATTAAGCTATAAATAAAGTTACTTGGACTACAGATTAAACCAGAACCAAATACATTAGTGAATACACAGGGACAATCATGCAGTGATGAAAGTTGTAGTGATGATGAGAGTCCCAAGCGTAAATATCGTGAAATGCTTACTCGACGTCCTTCGTACAGGAAAATATTGAATGACCTAGGTGGTGCTGAAATTGCTGGTGAGTTTTTTTTTAACATGTAGATTATTTTTATTGACAATTTTAGCTAAGTGATGACCACTTACATAGCACAGCTAACATAATTCTCAGTGAGAGCCTTAGCCAGGTTAATACAAGGGGGGGGGGGGGGGGGGGTTACGATGATTTAGTGATTTTATAAACACTAGTGGAATTTAATTTAAAAATTGTAAGAAATTTTGTAAATTGTGCTATTTTTAAAGTAAAAAAAGCTATGTAAAAATTTATATATATTTTTAAACATATGTTGCATGTTTATGCAAAACTATTACTTCAAAACAAAGGTTTTCAATACTCTTTCTTAACATTATATGATTGTGGCAGGAATAAAAAATACTATGTTCTTCCTTTATTCTCTTACATAGTTAAGGATACTTCTGATAAGTGATCACTGAACCACATCACAAAACTGTATTGCAGCATGGTACTTCACACTATTGAAAGATACACTTTCATTTATTAATATTTTTCTGCAAAAGTTTATGGTGATATTTTTTGCCATGGATACTGTTCATAAAGACAGCCAGGCATTTATCACCATAACTAATATGTTTCTCCACATATACTCATATAGTTACTCAATGGGTTTACAGTAGTAAATTTGGTTTTTGCCTCGGATCTCTCAATAATGCTGATCTTTATTTCATCACACACAATAACTTCCCCAATCTTCTTGTATTTAGTCCTTATGTGTTAAAGTCTGGACTCTGAGCACAAAGACTTTTATGCTATGACTATTGTGCCTACTAGCAGTGGTCATGACATTTTCTGATAGTGTATATATATGTATACAATATGTAAAATTTTGCAAAATAATTGATAAAGAAAGAAAATAAAATTTAAAAACATTTATTATCCTTGTTTTTGATTAAGTAATGTGTATCTGTGTACATTCGTATAGTAGCAGTTTTAATAGTTACCACCAAGATAATAATTGACAAATCAACAAGCCTTGTTACATTTAGAATTATAATCTGTTTCTGTTTTGGTGTGGAACTGTCAGATGTCTCGCCTATTATATACATTGTAAATTAATTGATAGTATTATCTATTTCATTAAGCAATTAATCTAGTCTTTAATGATCTTTATCTATACATTGTATAATTTTGTGATTTATATAATTTTGCCATTTCTCATACAAAACAAACACTAAAAACAAAACCTAATCTCAGAACTATTAATTTAAAACTGAGTAATTATGAGTTCATCACAATGTAGAATGTCATTAAAAAATGTCAAGACAAATCAAAGAACATGCCTTACTGTAATGACTAAAAGGTTTGCAATATATTTGTGACGGAAACAAATAATGACAGGTGATTAAGGCTTGACCGAGGTCTCGGTCTCAGCATTCTCGGCTATAAATCCAACCGAGAAATTTGTCTCGGTTCTCAGCTAAAAATCGCCGAGATTCTCGGCCAAGGGTGAACTGTTACTTACCTGTACCGGTTGGATTCAAATTACCGCATGGTTACGTTCGTCGCTCGGTTGAATGGCTATCCATCTCGGTCGAGCCTTACAGGCCATGTCAAAAATTCTTCATGCTAGACAACCGGCTTCAGAGCCCAATGAATGCATTTTTGTCATTGAATTTATATTAAGTAAACTACTTTGTTCTTGATATTCTCATATTTAAACTATTTTATCAGAATGTTTTAATAGTAAAAACAGTAAGAAAGTTTTGGTATCCTCTGCAGCACACCCAAGAGATTTGCAAAGTCATATTATAGTTTCTGCAGAGATCTTGGTTTATTAGATTTTCTGCCAGTTCTTACAGCCATTTTTTTTAAATTGTTTTTTACACTTGACAATACTTCACTCAGATTCTGTCTACTCAATGCAATACAGCTTTTAATAAGAATGAAAACTTGTTTTCATTATGACAATACTTTATTGATTGGTTATTTTAGTAAACCCACACTTTCTGTTACTATTTTGTGCAGAAATTTACTTGAGATCTGGCTTGGATGACCTCAGGACGGTCCCATGTATCAACTCAAGTGACAAACCTACTTACAGTCCACCTAGTGGTGTCTACTGCAATCCATTTTTTTTATAGGATAGGGTGACAAACGAGCACACAGTCCACCTGATGGTAAGTGGTTGCTTTGCCACAGAGACATCTACATCTATCCTCTTTAGCAAATAAAAATGCAGATGCATTGTCACCCGTGAAGTCTAAGATGGAATGCCTCTTTTCCAGTAAAAACCACCATACGAAACAAGCTGCTATTTTATGCTGGTATTCTGTGAGAGTGTGGTCCTTCGTCAGTTGAGTCGACCCATTCATGCTACAACTGTACTATTAATATATCTGCAGCATGGCTCTACATTATGGTTTCTAGTTGATTTCCGTGCCTTATAGCTGATCAAATAAGTAAAAAAAATGAAATAATTTTCTTAAAATAGTTTCCGAAGTCTGTGCTAAGACATAGTATATTGATAATTTGAATTTGTTCTTTTGAATTCTATTTTTACTTCTTATCAAAAGTTTAGTTTTTGGCCCTTAAGTGGAGTAAATTGTTTTCTAAATAGAGTTACATAAAAAACAGACAGAGAATGGAGTAGTTAAGAATAAAAATGATTAAGAATCTTGTTATTTATCGGTACTCTATTAATTTGTCCTATCTTCATTATATCCCCAATTTGGTTGATAAACTTTTGAGTAGGGCATCCTCTGCCACTTACTTCTGGAGCATAAATTTGCTTTGTTACTCTTTCCTCATTAATTTTTTGTATGGATCCAAATCACTGAAGCCATATATTTCTATATCCTGGTCACAACATCTTGCAAACCGCACTTTTTTCTTATCACTCACCTTATCATGCAGTCCTGTCATACTTCTTAATGATTGAATTTCTACAGGAGCCTTTTTTGGAGTTGGCTAGAATATTATTCTTTGTAACTGGAATATTTCTTTTTATATTTTCGAAATTTTCATAAACTAACAATTGAAGATAGAACAATGTACATTTCAAATAATCCCAAAAACAATGTGCCTCTTCGTGACACAAATTCATGCACACATCATCTTATTTCCTTCTTTCTTCATCAGTCTGTAAAAGTCCCCTGCTTGTAATTTATGATTTTAGGTACATTTGTTGTACCTAAAAACCATATTGTTGCAAAATATTTTAGATGCATGTTTTGTGAATTAGTGTGTTATCACAACAAATTAACATTTTTTCAGCCTAATGATTTTAGAATCACTTGAAATGCTTGTAACTTTGTTTGTTGTTTTTTCATAATTTTTCTTGTTTATATTTTATAGAATGCCACCAATGAACAAAAATAATAGTCATAATTTTACTAAGCCTGAAATGAATTTTTATTCCAATTGCAAATAAATTAAAAATAAGTCTAGCATTAATTCCGCTAGTGTGATGTCATGACTAGATTTTGTCTGTAATGGAGTTTTTAATTTGTACACTCAGTCATGACAACTTTCTGGGAGGCGTCTCTCAGTCCCTCTTACACTATGTCCATGGGTTAAGGGTGGTAAATAACTCAACATAGTACATTTATTGCATTATATACTGAGTAATGTGTATATTTAAAGACTGTATACATTTTTGACTTTAGAATGATCATGCATAGGAACAAAACTACTTATCTTACGTGGTAGAGCCATGCTGCAGCTATATTACTGGTATAGTTGTAACACGAATGGGTCGGCTCGACCGGGAAAGGGCCACACTCTCACAGAATAGCAGCTAAATCCCATTGTGTTTTGTTTGGTGAGTGAGAGTAACAACGCATCTGCATTTTGATTCGTAATCGAGGATAGATGTAGATGTCTATGGGCCACAGCAACCACTTACCATCAGGTTAACTGTGTGCTCATTTGTCACCCTTATCCTATAAAAAACTAAAACTAAAAAATATATATGCCTAGGAGGACTTCTAGCATCTCTTGGCCACACATATCTAGCTACTATGCCATGGATGCTGACTTTGTATCACAGTAGGTGCCAATGTTACTACAAAAAACAAAAATTATCGATTTTCAAGTTTTATTGTGTGGTTTTCGTTAATTTATTCTTGGACAAGCATTATTTTAGACATAGAACAAGTCAATGCCTCTTCATTATGCTTATGGCACTATAACATGTTCTGTACTGTTGTTAATTCATTTAAACTATTGCAGTCAGGATTTGGAAGTAGGCAATGTGGCTGTAAAATTTATATATATATAATCTGAACTCATAATAATTTATATGTATGTATACTGTAGTTGGCAGTATCAAATGTACATACCCACATGTTGTCTAGTGATCGTAAACGCGATTGCTGATCATGAGGTCCCGGGTTCGAACCCCCGGGTCGGCCCAAAGCCAGTTATTGAGGTTTTTCTGTCAAGAAATTCTCAGCCCGTAGTTAGGAATTTGACCCCTGTGCCTCGGAAAGCACCTAAAACCGTTGGTCCCGCACCTGATCTCTCTCCGGTTGTGTCGAATACAGGGTACACCTGTGCTGACACATACACTTGGACATTATAATCCTGTCCTCCACAGTGACCGCAATTCGGTCTGGAGGATTATTACCCACATCATATGTAAATTATTTTTAAAATGTGTATAAAGATTGTGCTTTTAAATTAATAGAACTCTGGTTCAACTGTACAAAACCTACAGTCGATTTGAAGGTTTTAACTTTAATTTCAAATGCTTAGCTTTCGAGATATTCGTTTTTGAAATTATTTTTTACTTACTATAACTGACGCTTTTTTAGATTTAAAACACATGTGGTATTTTAATGTGAACTATAATGATGTATAAAGTTTTGTCTCAAAAAGGATTTTTTGTTAACAAATAAGTTAAAAAACAAAACACAAAGAAAGAACCGGATACCCTTTTTACTGGAAAAGAGGCATTCTACCTTAGTCCTCACGGCTGACAACGCATCTGCATTTTAATTCGCAAACGAAGATAGATGTAGATGTCTATGGGCCAGCAACCACTTACCACCATCAGGTGGACTGTGTGCTTGTTTGTCATCTTTATACAATAAAAGGAAAAAAATATATTACTTGTATAGTTGTAACATGAATGGGTCGGTTATATACATATGTTGTAGAACCATTAGTTTTATGTTGTAGAACCATTATGCAAAAATTTAATAAAGTACGGTAAGGAGCTTTTAGTCCACTCATCATCATCATCAGGGTGCTGGAGATAAGGGGCGCCACTTAGCCCGGTCTTTAGCTACACGTATCCAGTTTCTATCAGCCCTTTTGCGCAGATTGTCGCTTCATCTAGTCAGGGGCCAACAACAACCGGTGGAGTAGACGTGTTATGGAGTGAAGACCACGTCTAGGCAAACGTAGTGTAGGACACCCCCAGACTAGATATAGTTGATGCCTAAATATTCTATATTGCTTTTCAATTTCCAGCATATTGTAGTAATCCTTAAGAAGTGTCTGATTTGTAATGGGTAAATGTAAAATTTATGCAGCTACTAGGGTTTATCCCGCTACTAGGTGCAGCCGATTGCAGTTTGTTAAAATAAGGTATATTTCAATTTATTCATAGTCAAAAGTAGGTGTAGCTAGTTATAAGTGTAGTAAAGTCCGAAATAATAATTAACTACGACTTCTGTTAACTTTATCAAAATAGGAAGGAACCTATCAAATAATATCAGTAATAAAAGGTGCACTTCCCTCTCCCTCTAGATAATTGTTTTACGCCATTCCCTCCGCACTTATACCACCTCCCTTCCACAGTAAATCGATTGTAGGTTTTGTACATTCCTTGCAGAACTCTTATTGCAAAATATTAATAAAATTATGATTTGCTAGTTATTTCGATTCCTAGTTATTATTATTGTAATAAAAGCACTGAATGATAAGAAAAATTGTATTATATATTATAAGTACACAAAAACATTATTTATCAGTCATTATGAAAACCGGTCAAAAGTATAAGAACATGGTAATAATTACAGAAAATCGCATGGGCTCTAAACCAGGATGCGAGAATGAAGTGTCGCTGTCATCTCCTTTGTCATTTGCACCAGGTCAGTTTAATGTGCTGCCACTGACACTTTTTGTTTCTGTGTGAACATGTGTCACTAACCTGTTCCAATACATACCTAATAACAGTACCTCACAAGGTTTTATGTCTTTAGTAGCCACCGTCATACATGTTTCATACTGTTTCTTTCCATCATTCGAATGAACTTTCATTTGTTTACTCTGTATTTACTGTACTCATCAAATATTGCAAGCTAAAGCAAAAATCATTGTTTTTAGTTAATGGTCAAAGGAAACTGCTAGCGCTCAAAAGCTTTGATTTCTTACTTTTATAATTAGTAAAAAGTTTTCTTTTAACCTCACCAATCATTGTTTCCTAAAAACCAACCCAAATATTAATATCATTTTTGTCATTACTTTTTGGCTTCTAAGAAACTATATTTGATCTAACTATCTATGTTTTTTTTATTTTTTAACACTTGGGTAATATAGAGGCAGCAGTGCAATTTAAATTTTTTATAATTAAGTACAAAAATTCTCTTAAATTGATAATCTGTTATTCATAACTTATTTTTATATTTCCCGAACCGTTGTCCCAACATTATTGATTCCTTAACGTTATCAATAGTTTTCTCCAAAATTTTAAAATAAGCTGAGCAAATTGGCAAAAAGTGTAAATTTACATTGACATTACACTTTAATTATTAGGTTAATAATATATTAGCTCTCGATTATGATTATAAAGTGCTTGATTATTATATAATGTTTTGTGATAGAGTCTGTATTCTATTCTAAAGTAATTTATATAACATATATAACGTTAAGTGCAATTAAATATTTTTTAATAATTTATAAGAATAAGATAATATTTTTATAGATATTCATTGTTCTAAAAAGTAGGTAGTAATGTTATAAACATTTGTCCATCGCGTACGCCCAGGCAGCCAGATTCATATTCTTAAAAGATGACGTAATCGAGCATGAGGTAATGATAATGACGTCATTTGATGTCTCAGTGAATAGTAATACGTGAACATTTGCATTTAAGCATCAAAACATTAAGCTAAATGTTTAAGTATAAAATCAAAATCTAAGTTCGGTATCAAGTGGTTATTAATTAAATAGGTTCGTAAATAAGGGAAAAAGAGGGGTATCCCTAAGCTTGACGATATTTAACAGGGGGCGGTGTAATAAAAAAAACACCCCCCTGCTTTTCAAATTATTTCTCAAGTTGTTGGATTTTTGTGTTATTTTTAATTACGATGAGGATGAGGGAGCAAAATAGCATAATTTTGTGTTGTATTGTATTTTATGAATCGCCCCCAAACATTATAAAAAGAATCCTTATTTTATTTATATTTTAAACCAACCAATTTTGTAACTATTGTATGAGGGAGCGAGAGAGAAGTAGGAGTAACACCATAGGGTTTTAACTTTCAACCAGTAAGAATCCAAAACCCCGCAGCGGAGGCGTATCCATGCCGGATTTTCCATATTTGAAAAATGTGATAGGTGGCTAGCCCATCGCCTACACAATACAAACCCAATATCCCATTAGTTCCCTTTTACGATCTGCTAAGCATCACAATTGGTACATTCCTTTTTGTTATAAGTCCCAGGTCAACATGGGACTTATAAGTCCCAGGCCAACATGGGACAACATATTAAATGATATGTAATATGTAATTATTTATTGATTTAAAAAAAATTATAATAATTGTTATAAATTATTATTACATATTATTACAAATATTAACATCAGACCGTAGGCACAAATAAACTTACAGGTTTTCCATATCCGGTACTTCGATAGCGTTCGATCGGTTAGCGTTGCGGCTACTTTTTTACTGACGTAATTAAACGTGATGTAATTATAGAAAATGTTTAGGAACTAAGTTTGTGGTAAACATACCAGAGCTAGAGAGTAGGATTTTATGTAAAAAAATGGACATAACAGTTTGCAATGTAAATGTATCGTTTTTGTTTTGTGTCTCTTTAGCCTAATAAACTAGAACCAAAAGAGCTTTGAGAAAAGGTCATTAAGTCCGCGGAATAGAGCGGGAGGCGGGCGTGCGTGTATTCACTTTACAAACCAACTACGTTTGAGGATAATCAAGTAATTTACTAAGACATTATATAAACACCTTATTCCAGACAATAACGTTACAAATTATGTATGTATATTATGTTGTATCGATAGTGTAGTGGCGGTGTACGAATATCCACTACCACATATCATCCCGTGAGTATTGTAAGAGATTTTTATTACAACTTACAAGTATGTAAGACTGAAGAAGTGATCATTGGGTAGGTTGTGTTCATTATCCAAGAGATGTTAAGTGAAATAAAACAGCAGCGCGTTCCTAATAACAACAAAATAAAAAACTGCGGTTGCTGACCCGCCTGCCACGCATGGCAATTTTGTCAAATATCTCCCCTATGAGGCAATCTATGGATGAGGCTTTTGTTTAGCAGTGGATTTACAGTAACAGCCCATTTACTGCCTAATGTCTAACAGCCTGTTGTATATACTATTATTTTCTTTTTCCGGTTCTCTACACTCATCATACGAAACAGCAGTGTTATGTTGCTATTTTACGCTGATATTCTGTGAGAGCGTGGTCCTTCTCCGGTCGAGCCGACCCACTCTTGCTACAACTATATACTACTAATATAGCTGCAGCCCTGCAGCATGACTCTACTACGTATAATCTATTTTATTCCTAAGATTATCACTATCTACATCAGTAATTGGCACTGGTGGTAACTGTAGATCTTAACTATAGTCTTGTTCAAACTCGTACGCAGATTGCATGTCTTGCCACTTCTGCCATAACGGAAATATCGCCTTAACCTAGTTGAGTCGAGTGTGTATTGACATTGTCACTCATTTATTGCCTGCAATTTATCATGGCATTTTCTTATGCTGTTTATTATTACATTACAGCCTATACATATAATCTCTAAATATATAATTCTTCTGTACGTTTAACACTGAACTTCCTCAGCAGCTGGACTGATTTTGATAAAATTTTATGTATGTTTTACTGGGTCCCTGGATGGTTTAGATTCACAGTTTGACCCGGTAGATGTCGCTATTGTCAAGATACAGATATCATAATATATCGATCGACTTTCTGCATCTCTGACCAGTTCGTCATTCCATCTTGTGGTGGGCGCCCTTAACTTCGGTTACCGGTATGAGGCTGCCACTCAAGAACCTTTCTTCCCCATCGATTGTCGGTTTATCAAACTATATAGCCAGCCCATGACCACTTCAACTTAGTGTCATCATATATGGCCTATAGACATATCGTGCATGTTTGTCGCTCTTATTCTATAAAAAAAACTTTGATAAAAAAAGTTGCTTTGGCTCTACAGGGGATATCCGTATTACGAAGCCTATCTCGCTGAGAAACTTCATAACACTCTCCTTAACTCGCCGAGCTTTCTCAGTCTACATACGTAAGACAAAGTACCAAACCTTACTCTTCGATCTTCCGTACAACTTCCCGGAGGGTATATATATGTACTCTTTGGGGACGTTTGCCATTGTTGCACCGTTTGGTAGTCAGGTTGGCGACCACAGTTTTTATTTTATTTTCTAGATGTCATCTCAAGTTCTTAGAGCAAATAGCACTCGTTTATTCGGGTTAAAGAGAAAAAGAAAACAATTAATTACTATTACCTACTACGTTGAAACTGGAAACGGACATGGAACGGCTTGTATGTGAATCATACACTCGATACGTGTGATTACTGAAAAAAAAAAGTATAGTATTAACCATTAAAGGTCTTAAAAATTGAATAGCTAAAGTCCGAATATTACCCTAGTTTGAAGAGCACCTACTTTCTAACAATTGCGTACACTATTCCCATCACCACTACTTATACCAGGAAAACATCACAGTCGGTAATACAAAACGTGTTTCGCCTCTAAACGAGCCATCATCAGGAGAATTAGACTGCGATTAGCGGCGAGCTAAAACAACTCCCCGCTTATACAATTCTCAAACGTAACCGCTCCATTTGACGTTTGCCATAAAATAAACAATAAACCGCTTCTATCTACCCTCTCAACCACTCAATCTGACGCTGGCAACAGTGAGAGTGGTAAACGACCACATTGCGGGGCTGTGTTATTAGAAAGCAGGCTTACAGATGTTTAATAGAGGCGAGTTATAAACATTTCTTCATTCAGCAGTACAACATTACTATTGTTATTTTTTAATATCTCGTAACTGTTCCAGCACGCATAGTTGCAACCCTTTTATTACAAGTATGTAAGACTGAAGAAGTGATAATTGGCTAGGTTGTGTTCATTATCCAAGAGATGTTAAGTGAAATAAGATTATCGGGATTGCAATTCCTGTACGCGGTTACATGATCTTTATAAAGTGTATCGAAGTCGCGACCAGTCGGCTCCGTAATAAAATACAGTTCTGCAATGTGAACGTTTGCCACCCTCACTGTAAGCAGCGTTTGATTGCGGGGTTTAGTTTGTTGGTTAAAATTTCCAATATGGACCATCGATTTAAATGCCCATATTTTTTTTTGTAGATAGTACTCACTAAAAGAAAGCGTTTTGCAAAGTTTCAATATGCAGAAACGCGTATCTATTGAGAAAAAACTTATTGAAAATCAATTATTTTTGCAAATTTATGTCAATTCCTGCGGTAAAACTGACGCTATTTTGTATTGTCATTGTCATTGTCAGTAGGGATGTCGATTCTTTCCGAAAAAGATCGATTTCTAAAATTTCGATATTTTTTCATGTTTGCATTTATATGTTTTGTTATCTTTAGTACATCTATTTTTTTTTTATAGGATAAGTGTGACAAACGAGCACACAGTCCACTTGATGGTAAGTGGTTGCCGCGGCCCATAGACATCTACATCTATCCTCTATTACAAATCAAAATGTAGACGCGTTGTCACCCGTGAGGACTAAGATGGAATGCCTCATTTCCAGTAAAAAGGGCCTCCGGCCACCTGCACTCACCAAGCGAAACGCAGAGGTAAACCGCTACTTCACGCTGGTTTTCCGTGAGGTCGTGGTACCACCCCGGTTCGAGCCGGCCCATCCGTGCGACAGCAAAAGCTGCCGCGTGGCTCTACCACTATATCTATGTTTGAAAATTAAAAATCCTAGTATGAAGATAAAAGTAGATAATTCTATTTCAATTATTTGTTGTGACGTAGGTTTTTATAGGTACGTACTAGCTAACTAAATTAAAGTAAGTTATATAAGAAGAAATAAGAGTTATAGAATAGAATTTATACAGTGCGCCGCTAAGTGGACGGCCGGCGTTGTCAAGGCACCTGGAGCTGGAGGTCTATTCACAAATTTTGTTGTCATTATAATTATTTTCACTTTGTAAGTACATTGCGTTGTATGTATTATTGAACCGTGGAAGCTCTTATAAAAAAGCTATATAGCATACGACACTATGTATCACAAAGTGACGTATCATTTTGATGTCAACAAAGTAAGCTAATTGGCCTGCCTGTCAACCTAAGCCGTGTGACAGTCGCTGACTGCGCTTCGCTGCAGTCTACGCTCTCACTCTTGTACTAGAAAACGTTACATGGCAATGTAGTTATATTAGGAAATTACCGTCCCAGAGTAGAATAGTTTACCAACGTTAGTGGAAGTTTGGCGCGGATGATTTGGACCGCGGTGCAAGGCGATTGGTAAACCTCGACCGCGCTTACGTGGTGTGGCGGTCGGTGACTGATGCACTTTGCTACAATCTTAGAATAATAACACCTAGAAGCCGAGTCCGCGTCCGTAATGTGAACTATCGTTCTAGGTGTTATTATTCTAACGCTACAATCTACATTCCCATTTATCTACTAGAAACACTTATTTCACTGAAAGTAGACTGCATGATACATATTACAGCAATTTAGACTTACCTTTCTTAGAGATATGTATGCCACAAAAAGTATTTAACAAATCCGAATTAATGAATTCAACGATGTTCTAGTAATTTTGTACATTGTTAATAATAAGTATTATTAGTTAAATTAAGTAATTATTAGCAAAATTACTCAAACCTTTGTTGCTATTATAAAAATACAAATGTTTTCATAAACTTTGTATTTTATCAACAATATGTTAATAGTACCTACTAATACTTAGACAAAAAGTAAATTATAATCACTAATGTTAAAAATAATATAGTGTAATGCCGGGTTTACACGCTTGCCAAGTCTCGGCAAGCATCTACAAGCACACAAGCGTGTAAAGAGGGCGTTTGGCTTGGCTTGCGTGAGCTTGTGGACGCTTGTCCCCGATCCGGTCTAGTGTCGGTTTTTGGACACAGATCAAAAGGCTCTTGCGGTAAGCGCTTGCAAGCTTGCAACGCATTCACACGTTGGTGCGCGTTTAGTAGAAATTGTAATTTCGCGACGAGCGCATATTTCGTTCTTTATTTAAAATGAGTGGCTGCTCGAACGAAGAGAGTTTATCGTTTTTGGAATATTACCAGACCGAATCATCTATCTGAAACCCCAAAGACGTTAATCATAGAAAAAAATTTTTGGCTTTTAATTCTTTTACTGGCTTTCCCGTTAACTCGGCAAGACGACTCCAAGCATTTGCAACTTTCTTTTTATTTTTATGATTAACGTCTTTGGGGTTCCAGATGGACGATTCGGTCTGGTAATATTACAGAAACGATAAACTCTCTTCGTTCGACCAGTCACTCATTTTAAACAAAGAACTAAACATGCGCTCGTCGCGAAAACACAATTTCTACTAAACGCGCACCAACGTCTGAATGCGTTGCAAGTGCTTGCCGCAAGCGCCCTTTGATCTGTGTCCAAAAACCGACACTAACCCGGATCGGGGACAAGCGTCCACAAGCTCACGCAAGCCAAGCCAAATGCCCTCTTTACACACTTGTGCTTGTGGATGCTTGCCGAGACTTGGCACGCGTGGAAACCCGGCATAAGATGTTCAACTTGTTACAAACAACACAGCAACACAGTCTGCCCACAAAGCAACCTTTACTTGTATACAGGAATTACCACTACGAACAGAATCATGATACCGTTTAAGATTATTAGAATTATTGAACTACGCTGGATAGTAATCGTCCTTTATACTGCTCAAACGAGTTGGGATTTAAAGGTTTTCCCCTTGCTTTTATTTATCATTTTATTTTCTACCCACTTTCTCTGGCAATAATTTAGAAGCACAATCTTTATATTGACTAGTGTCATCAGAAAACTTTGTTTATGTATCAAGTTGTAAAATTTTGTTTTATTTTATATTCTATTACTGCAACGTTTTTGTAAAATGTTTGGATCATTAGTTATTCCAGCTGGAGCATTACAAGCAGAGAGCGGACTACATACATTGGCTGTATCAGGTGCAGCTGGTGGCGGTGCTATTGTACAGTATGCAACCAATCAAGATGGCCAATTTTATGTGCCCGGTTAGTATTATATCACTAATTCCAACAGTAGCATTTACTAGTTTAGTTTTTTATCGTCATTATTAGGGGAAACGAACAAATCGTACTATTTTTACAGGTCCTATCTTAGAAGACCAAACGCGCAAACGGGAGCTGCGGTTATTGAAAAATCGTGAAGCTGCAAGAGAATGTCGCCGAAAAAAGAAAGAGTATATTAAGTGTCTGGAGAATAGAGTTGCGGTTTTGGAAAACCAAAATAAAGCACTTATAGAAGAGCTAAAATCCCTGAAAGAACTTTACTGTCAACAGAAAACAGAATGAGGCCCAGCCGGCTAATCAGGTGTGCCGCTGCCCTGCCGGTAAGAGTTTTTTGAGGCACACATTGTGTCAGTCATACTGCGTTTGGAGTTGGTTCCGTCTGATAAATTATTTTAACCGCGTATGCCAATTTTGATATCATACTGGATAAATTAAATTTAAAATGATTTTAATGTCGTTCATTTTAACGATAACAGAAGCGCGGATGAATTGCAAACTCCATAAGAAATCTCTTAGTTATATGTGTCAATTTTATTAGTAGGCTAATTCTAAATCGCAGTGATGGTAGTACCTTTGGTACGATTACATTTAGTGCCGTGGGCTGTATCAAGCTGCCTTTGTTTAAATAATATTGCCAGGATATTTGGGATATAAATCGGTGGCTTGAGCTATATTGTAACACTCTATACAGGGTTGTCCTTGGGTGTCAATGAAATGTATATGTATATATATATACTATGTAAATAAATGAAAAATGAGAGCAAGAATAAAATAAGTCTTTATAATATATTATAATGAATTGGCTATTGATTAATTTTTTAACATTGTTGCACTTTTATAAAATATGTTGAACTGTTGTTTATACCACTTTTTATGAAAATGTTGTTGTTTTAAATTTTCGTTTTAAATATTTTTGTTGTTTTTCCATGCGGTAATGAAGTACTAGCATGTTAGATTTTCTTTTCATGACGTAAAACAGAAGTTTTAAATAGAAAAAAGGCCAGCCTTTCCTTTTCCTAAGGTAAGGAATTTACCCGTTTATGTTCTTCAAAGCAATCAATTTTCAAAGGAAAAACCAAGTTTAAAAATCTAATATGTTGACATTTGTGCCATTTATAACTTGTTTTAGTATTCTTTTAATGTTATTTAACATTAAAAAATTGATATTAAATTTAGTTTTCATATAATTGATGCTATTGTCAGTTTGTTTGCAGTTTACTTTCAAATATTAATTACAGTGAAAACTGGTAAGTAGAATCTGAATAATTGAAAAAAAAAATGTACTGACATATCTGATTTATTAGCAAAACCAATAAAGGCATTCTTGTAACTGAGATGCTCACAACATAACATTGTTGTCCTTAAATTAAAAGCCGTAAAGTGTTTACCATTTTTTTTGTAATAATTATTTATGATTGTCATTGTGAACATATTTTTTCCTACTTTGACAACTCCCAATAGTTTCCGCGTACGTTAAGTATTCCATGAAAGTCAAAATGTTATGTCTAACTTTTGCTTGGAATTTTCCGCAGATGTAAATGGGCTTACTCTGCTACAAAGTTGCAAGTTATTTTCTGACGAACTTGACGAATGGATAGTTTTACAAAATTACCAAAGCAAATTACAAAAATACGAGTTTATAACTATGGCAAAAGATGTGTCAATTAAAAGTAGCAAAGACATAAGATTTATAGCATGGGGATGTTGAAAACAAATTGTATAGTGAATATGAGAGTTTAAGACAGTTAAAAATATATGGTTTTATATTTCCTATAAACATTGGTTTCATTTTCACAATTAGTAAGTGATCCAGTTTTTTCAGCACAATGTACCTACTGACCATAAACAATGAGGTCATATTTTTTAACATAGTAGGTAACAGTTATGAAATCTTTAACATAAATATCATCGAAAAATCCTAAATTAATGATAAATATTCTATACATTTCGTATTTTTATATAACATCTCTACCTCTACAATTGAAATAAATTAAGTTCCAATATTTGTAAACTTTGCAAATAGGATAATGTTACAAGTAAAAAAATTGGTTTGTTGCGATTCTAATCAACCAGCTTTCACTGTATTACATGTCAATATCTCTATGAATATTACAAACTTGCTTACGTTCGGGCAATCATTGTTAATATTATAGATTTGACATTATGTGTATAATACCTATACTTTGTGTATACAAGATGTGAAGAAAACCCTATCCTGGGTAAATGACTACCAAATTACCATCATATTATCGATGATTATAAAAATGTTAAACAAAAAAGCTTTAACTACAATTTGCTTATAATTCATAAAATATTTAAACCCTGACAAAACTGGTCTGGCGAAGGCCGCCCTAATTTTGTTTTATTTTTGTGAGGTAATTTGTTTATTTACTCTCTGAAAAGGATTGCATGAACAGAATCACATTACGATACCAAAAACTTCCTCATTGAACTGGGACGGGTTCTTTTAAATATTATGTGTGTTTTGTATATATACAAAATACAAATCTACAAATCATAAAAATATTTACTATGAAACTTGAAATTCATATTCTATTAGTAGATAAGTTATTTGCATAAACTGTTTAATTTCACTAAAATTAATTGTTACGGTGAAAATCCAATTATTCTGTTTTCATTTAGTTACATATTTAAGTATTTACAAAATATAGTGTTTTATAATGGATAAGCCAAAGTTAATATTTAGTTATTTTGTGCAATATTACATTGCATTGTACAGTTTTATGTAATTTTCCTCTTCATGTAATTAATTGTCAAAATGGGAATAATGTAAATTGTGTAAAAATAGATTAGTAACATAGTGTATTTGAATTATTATGTATATACACAATGTAATTTAAAAATGGCTAATGTCTGTCGCATATCTTCAATAATAATTCTAACTCCGACCTCCTTAACTTACAAACTTATTGTTCAAACTTAGCAGACGCCATTCTTTCTCTGACGTTCACATTTACATTATTGTATTTTTGTGAAAGGGTAATTTTAATATCAGAGATATAATATTATTTTAAGGTTTTATAAAAAAAAAAACTATCACCTGCCATGGTAGATGTCTATAAGTAAGAGATTTATTTTGAATATAAAATTATTATTTCTATAGAGGGTATTGGGGAATGACATAGTAGTTGTATATTATGTGGTCCAATCTATCTTGGCAAGTGACATTTAGATTTAAACATTGTGGAAAGTGCCTTTAAATTTAGAATAAATAAAGTTTATACCAACATAGCTTTTTATGTTAACTTATGCTATTTATAAATATTAATAATATTAACTGTTTGATGTAATATTGTGTTGTTTTTTTTTTAATTTTATGCCACGATTAGTTTAAAGAATTAAAACATTATCACACAAGATAAGATTATCAAAAAAATTATTTAATTTTAATTATTTTATTAAGTATATTACACTTATTAAATATGAAAAACTAATTTGGTAATTTTTTCTTGCGTGGCAGAGCCATGCTGCAGTTATATTATGGTTGTAGCACGAATTGGTCGGCTGGACCGGGAAGGAGCACACTCACAAAATACCAGCGTTAAATAGGAGCTTCATGTTGCTATGTGTCTATGATGAGTATACATAACTGGAGACCATTTTTACTGGAAATGAGCAATTCTCTCTGAGAACTCAGGGGTGGCAACGAATCTGCATTTTGATTCTTAATGGAGCAAACCGTATGGGCCAACCGTATGAGAATAATATAAGAAATTCGCCGTCTTCAAAACCATGCGACTATCCAGCAAGACCATACCCTGTTTTAGAATGATATGAATGTAGTGACAGTAGCCTAAGGACTGATTAATCAAAGTGAATACTTTTTATTTTTTGTAATAATAGGGTATTTTGCACCATTTGTATTTTTAGTTTTGTATTAATAGAATTTATTTCTTAGTACGAGGGCGGCACTGAAAATTTCGGGAATCAAGGAAGTGACACAACATTACTATTTATAAATGTATTTATTGCTTTTCGAAGTATTCTCCATGAAATTTGACACATTTTTCCATACAATGGAACCAATCATTGAAGCAACTATTCCATTCGGAAGTTGGGGTCTCCAAAATGGCCGTTTTGTAGGCGTCCACAGCTTCTTCAGATGATGAAAATCTCTGTCCACGCAATTTATTTTTTATTTTAGGGAAAGTATAGAAATCATTAGGGCTTAGGTCGGGGCTGTACGGCGGATGGTCTAATAATTCTATGTTTTCTTGCTATAAAAACTTTTTGTTCTGTGTGCGGTGTGAGAACTCGCATTGTCGTGATGGAGGATGATGCGGCGGTTGCAGTTCTTTTTACGGAGTTCAGAAGCGACCTGTGGCAAACAAATGCTAGCATACCATTCTGCATTAACCGTTCTTTGTCCCTCAAGAGGAATAGTCGTAACATAGCCGGTTTTGGAGACGAAACGTGGCCACCATTTTTTTTGCAACACTCCGTGAACGAACAATTTTTGTTGGCTTTAACTCATTTTCGAACACCCAAACTCGTGACTGGTTTTTTGTTTCGGGTTCGTACGCGTATATCCAGCATTCGTCACCTGATACGATGTTGTATACAGCATTTGAAGATCCTGCGTGGAATCTTTCGAGAGTTCTGACGCACCAAGTAACGCGAGCCGCTTTTTGCACTTCACAGAGCGAATGCGGTATCCATCGGGAAAACAACATTTTTACACCTAATTGTTTATGCAAGATTATTTGTATTTGACTCATGCCAATGTTTAAAGTTGCCTGAATTTCGCGGTATGTCACATGTCGATCTTCCTTAATCAGCTTACGCACAGCATCAACGTTTTCTTGGGTGACTGCAGTTTTTGGACGACCTTGACGTGAATCATTACTGAGCTTGACACGTCCACGTTGAAATTCAGCAAACCAGCGAAGCCCCATCCAAAACCACAGTTTTGGATGGGGCTTCATCACCAAATGCAGAAATCATCCAGTCAAGACACTGTTTTTGTGTTAAACCACTTCGAAAGTCATAATAAATCATCGTTCTTGAATTTTCTCGAGTCAATTCCATTTTCTCAACGACTAAACAAGTTTGACAAAAACTTGTGACAAGACCGAGAATCTTTTTTTAAATAAATAAATGTTATTCGATTTTTAAAACCAAGGAGTTTTCATAACTAACAAATTGAGCAAAAACTCTTCATATCTAGATTTACTCGTCGAGAAGTTCCAGTAGCAGTTACTGAAGTACACCATCAAGTCCGGAGGTAAAGTCTTATCATAACTAATTGAACGAGCCCAAAC